GGATCACCTGAGCCCAGCAGGTTGATGCTGGCTTGGTGGCCATGAGCATACCACTACATTCCAGCCTAGACGACAGAGTGAGACTCCGATTCAAAAAAAAAAAAAAAAAAGGATTTTTGCAAAAATAGTATGTAGAAGCATTTTTTTTTTTTTTTGAGTTGGAGTCTCATTATGTCGCCCAGACCGGAGTGCAGTGGCCGCTCCCGGCCACCGCAGCCTCGACCTGCTGGGCTCTGGCAATCCTTCCATCTCAGCCTTCTGAGTAGCCAGAATTACAGGTGGGCGCTACCACGCCCGGCTAAGTTTTTTATTTTATTGTAGACATGAGGTCTCGCCTGCCCAGGCGGGTCTCAAACCTGTGGGCTCAGGCAATCCACTCACCTCAGCCTCCCAAAGGCATGGGATTACAGGTCGAGCCACCGAGCCCGGCTCATTTTTTTTGAGAAAGCAGGAAGAAGAAGACAGAAGAGCTCCCAAGCGGGAGGGGGCCTGAAACAGAGTTGCCCTATAGAAGCATATGGATCGCATGATCAACACCATTCATATTTGCAATATAATTTAGAAGCATTTCAGGCTTTTTTTTTTTTTTTTTTGAGTAGGAGTCTCACTATGTCACTGAGGCTACAGTAGCTGGGAGCATGCCACCGCAGCTTTGACCTGCTGGCCTCAGGCAATCCTTCCACCTCAGCCTTTCAAGTAGCTGTAACTACAGGCACACACTACCATGCCTGGCTAGTTTTTTTATTTATTGTAGAGATGAGGTCTCACCAAGTTGCCCAGGCTGGTATCGAACCCATGGGCTCAGGCAGTCCTCTCACCTCAGCCTCCCAAAGTGCTGGTATTATAGATGTGAGCCACCGCACCTGGGGTGCATTTCAGACTTTTTGACTGTTACAGTATTTTTACCAGATTTTGTTTCTGCATGATTCCAAGTGCTGAGAATTGTAACAATCCTTTTGTCACTTCACGCAAAAAGCATAAGATTTTTCCTATATGCTACTATTTTTTTTTGTTAAAACTTTGTCTTTTTGATTTATGCTGGTATTCCCTTTCACTGACTTTGTACCAGTAAGATGACATTTCATCTTTAGTAGTCCTTCTGCTAGGAAAGTGCTTGTGTAATATCTGTTAGTAAACATGTGGTATCCTGCTGTATTGGAAAATTTTTCCAAAAACTTTTTATATAAATGTAATGTAATTCTGGTGCTTACTAGAGGATCAGGTCAAGTGATGTTTTAAATGTTAAGCTACAATAGTAGGGAAGTATTGAAAAAAGATACCCAAAGCCAGGTGTGGTGGATTACGCCTGTAATCCCAGCACTTTAGGAGGTGGAGGCAAGAGAATTGCCTGAGCTCAGAGGTTCGAGACCAGCCTGGACAACGTGGTGAGGCCTCGTCTCTACAGTCAGTCAAAAAATTAGCCTGGCATGGTGGTGTGCACCTGTAGGTCCAGCTGCTTGGAAAACTGAGATGAAAGGATCACCTGAGGTCACAGCTACGGTGGCCGTGAGCATGCCACTGCACTCCAGCCTGGGTGACAAAGTGAGGCTGAAAAAAAAAAAAAAAAAAAGAGCTGGTGCGATGGCTTAAGCCTGTAATCCAGGGATTCAAGACCAGCCTGGGCAACTTAGCAAGACCTCATCTCTACAATACATCAAAAAATTAGACTGTGCCTGGTGGCTCAGCCTATAATTTCAGTGCTTTGGGAGGCGGAGGTGAGAGGATTGCTTGAGCCTGGGGGTTCGAAACCAGCCTGGGTAACTTGGTGAGACCTTGTCTCTACAATAAATCACAAAAACTAGCTGGGTGTGGTGGCATGCATCTATAGTTCCGCTACTTGGAAGGCTGAGGTGGAAGATCACCTAAGCCCAGCAGGTTATGGCTGTGGTGGCCATGTGCGTGCCACTGCACTCCAGCCTGGGCGACAACATTGAGACTCCAACCCCCCCCAAAAAAAATTAGCTGGATATGGTGTTATGTGCCTATAGTTCCAGCTATTTGGAAGGCTGAAGCAAAAGGATCACCTGAGTCTAGCAGTTTGAGGCTGCAGTGGCCATGAGCATGCCACTGTACTCCAGCCTGGGCGACAGAGACTCCAACTCAAAAAAAAAGAAAAAAGATTACTATTTTTGAACCAGCTAGCGCATGTAACATTTAGTAGGTGTTTTTCGATTGTATGTTACAATGATATCCACTCTTTAAATTGAACAATGATTCATCAAGACAAACTGCCTGATGTGGTATGAAATACTATGAAAATGTTGAATCAATATATTCCAAATAATTATTGGCCTTTTGAATATGAGTTCTGATTGTCCCATCACTCGACACAGGTGTCTACAAATGAAGCATCCAGAAGCTTTGCATAAACCTTTCTCTACTGAATGTTTCTGAAGAGTATTTTACTATTAAAAGCAGTTGAGAGCTGGCTTGGTGGCTCAGCCTGTAATCCCATGCCTTGGGAGGCTGAGGTGAGTGGATTGCCTGAGCTCGCGGGTTCGAGACCCACCTGGGCAACTTGGTGAGACCTCATCTCTACAATAAATCAAAAATCAGCTGGGTGTGGTAGCGCGCACCTGTAATTCCAGCTACTCAGAAGGCTGAGGTGGAAGGATCACCGGAGCCCAGTGGGTCAAGGCTATGGTGGCCAGCAGTGGCCACTGCACTCCAGTCTGGGTGACAGAGTGACACTCAACTCAAAAAATAAAAAAAAAATTTTTTTAATTTTAAAAAATTTAAAAAAAGCAATTGACCAGTATTCTTGCAAATCTGGCACTTGAATTATTCCCATATTTATAACTGTGATAAAAACTAAAAATTCCCGTCAGCATCATGCCACTTATGCCAAATAGATTTGTGTGATAGCTGCTTTGCTTTTATTTTTTCACCCACATGACTAATTTTTTATTACGCTATCTACTAATTCATTTGTACAATACAGAGTAAAATATAGTCACTTCTCTTTTTTTTTTTTGAATTGGAGTCTCATTCTGTCACCCAGACAGGAATGCAGCTCCCAGCCACCGCAACCTCGACCTGCTGGGCTCTGGCAATCCTTCCTCCTCAGCCTTTCAAGTAGCTGGAACTACAGGCATGCGCTACCGTGCCTGGCTAAATTTTGATTTATTGTAGAGACAAGGTCTTGCCAAGTTGCCCGGGCAGGTCTCGAACCCCACGGGCTCAGCCAGTCCACTCACCTTGGCCTCCCAAAGTGCTGGGATTACAGACTGAGCCACCGAGCCTGGCCACTTCTCTTATATTACTTGCTATTTGTGGTCCTGTTTTTCGAGGGTTTACAACAAAATTTATTCATGCTGGAGGATTGTCTTTTTCTGTAATAAATTCCCATTCTTCAGCAGGTTGTCTTCTACTTCTTCGAAACTACAAACACTTTCATCGCTATCACTTTTTGTTACATTTGCCCGTTTTCTTCTTGTTGGGATAATATCACTATCACTACTGTCATTTTCTTCCACATCAGTGTTTATTTAAGTCTAAAAGTCTAACTCATCTTCCCTGCTTATAGTATAACTCTCATTTTTGTCTTTTCATTTTGCCATTCTACAAATTAAATAAGTGGATAAAAAATTATAATTGTACATTACAAAATCATGAAAGGAAATTTATCAGAAGATTATTACTTTTCCAAGTACAGATAGATATATTCTTTTCTAAGTGCAGATAGATATATTCTTTTTTTTTTTGGAGTTGGAGTCTCACTCTATCACCCAGACTGGAGTGCCGTGGCCGCTCCCAGCCACCGCAGCCTCAACCTGCTGGGCTCCGGCAATCTTTCCGCCTCAGCCTTCCAAGTAGCTGGAACTACAGGCGCGCGCTACCACGCCCGGCTAATTTTTGATTTGTTGTAGAGATGAGGTCTCACCAAGTTGCCCAGGCAGGTCTTGAACCCATGGGCTCAGGCAATCCACTCACCTCAGCCCCCCAAAGTGCTGGGATTACAGGCTGAGCCACTGAGCCCAGCTAGATATATTCTATCTGTGCCGCTCGATACTTCAAGACAATCTGCCTTCAGTTTTGAAGGTCTCTTTCTTTTAAGACTCCAGTAACTTGCTTATCTGTCTTTTCAAGTTATGCCATATGATACAAAGGGTATACCAACAGCTGTCTTTCTTGTATAAACGCTCTCTACCTTCTGTTACAAAGAAGTGTCGGCACCGCTATGAAAGCATTTCGCACATTCTCTTTCTACATAACACCAGCTGATATTTTTGTACATATATCTTAGTATATAGTCCATCTCTTTATTTGCTTTTTGGTGCAATTTTAATGGAAAACTTCAAGGAAACATGTTTTTGAAATTTACGTTTTTGAAATTTGCGCTGGCATCATTTGTTCTGTATAATCACAAGCGATCTCTTTATGTGCCCTGAGAGGGGACATCAAAGTTATTTGTTAGATTGGCATTCACGTGCAAAGGGTTAAATGGCATGCACTTTTTTCAGAAGGGAGAGCTGATGAACTTGAAGAGGTTAGAGAAGGGTTTCTGGGAAAGTTAGGGCTTGGGTGGGCCTAATGATGAGGATTTGGCTGGAAGGAAAGGCAAAGAGGACATTTATTTATGGAGTGGAATATAATTTAGCAAAGACTTACCAATTAGTAGAAGAGTGATACATTGCTTAAGTGAAGGGCTTCTGAAAGTAAAACAGCAGATTCAGCATTTACAAAGGACCTTGAATTCCAGGCTAATGAGAATTAAGTGAAATAGAGTATGAACATGCCTAGGAGCTTATTTTTGGTGGGTCTGTCATATCTTACCCTTTAAGTGAGGAACATGTTTTAGGATAATTAAGCTACAGTAGGTATGAAATGGAACAGTAGATATGAAATGGGACATGCTTTAGGATAATTACGCTACAGTCGGTATGAAATGGAAAGAGAGGAACTAGAGATTGGTTCTTCCCCTCATTTCTATCACAATATTTGGACAAGGTGCTGCAGATCATTTCCAACACTTGCCTTTCTTTCACTTCTCTCTGTAGATGGCCGCCCTGCTCCTCCAATGAAAGGCCAACTTCGAAGAAAAGCTGAGAGGGAGAAGTTTGCAGTGAGTGGCTAGAGCCCCAGCCCGGGTGTCATTGGAGGGAAGAAATTTACATCGTAACTTGTCTTGATCTGTGTTGCACCTAAGCTAACATACCGAGGTCTTAACAGCCAGAGGTTTTAATAGCACCATGAGAAGGGAGAAGGGTGGGACCCTCCCAGGGCAGGAACCAGTAATAGACATTATGTCTCACGTTTTGCTGTCTCCCTTTTGCTTCCCAAGCCAAGACTTGGTCCCACCTTTTCCCCAATCAGCAGTGTCATTTTCCAGCTGAAACCTCTGACTTTGTGAGTAAAAGGATATATAGTGCAGCACTTAAGCTCCAGATGTTATCCACGCTGTTTTCCTGTCTGTTTCAGAGACGAGTTGTACTGCTGTCACAGGAAATGGATGCTGGCTTACAGGTATGGCAACTCAGGCAGCAGAAGTTGCAGGAAGAAGAAAGGAAGCAAAGAAATGCTCTTAAACCTAAAGGGGCTTCACTGCAGAGCCCACTTCCAAGTCAATAAAAAGCAAGTCCTGCCTCCCTTCCCCAGCCTCTCTCTGGCTTTCCTTTCTATCACCTAGTTGCCTCATCCCAGCCAGAAGAGAGCCTTCATTTTCTCCATCTGTCTTCAGAGCAAAAGGACCCCGGCACCAGAAGGAACGGGCTGTGAGATCACCGCCTGGGAGGTTTGGCTCAGTGCCCTCACCCTTGGCTCCATTCCAGTTCAGCTGAATCTCGCTCTAGGATTCCTACCCTCTCCTTTGCAGGCCATAGGACTGGCCAACTGTGAGCAATAGCTGCTCTGTGAACATGAAAAAGGGACAGCAGTTTTCCTGGTTGTAACCAGGCACTCAAGACTTTAACAGCCCAATACACAGCTCAGGCCAAGTGCAGTTGGCATCTAATAAATGTTCTGATGAAAAAGGCTTTCTAGCTGAGATCCCTTTCTTGGCAAGAAACTGGTGTCAGTCTTCCTAAGGTTCAAATACATGGTCCAGAAGGACACCCTCACTGCAAAGGCTGATGTGGGAAGAACCACATGAGAGTGTTGGATGAAAAAGTTGGGTTGTGAGGTCTCCATGGTTCTGACTGCATTCCAGAGGTTAGCTGAAGAGGGGCCTGTTCCTCCTCACCCCAGTTTGTGTAGGAAAACCCTACATAAGGGCTCAGCCCTCAAACAGTCACTGTGGGATAGGTATCCACCACCACTATATACCCCCCACAAACCTGGAAGCTGACCAGGACCTTGGAAGACTTTCATTTATTGATGATGGCTCCTCTCCTGATTCCCGGGGCAAAGAACTTTTGTCTCCATTCCAATACATAGCACTAGACGTCTATTCTGCCACAAACTGTTGCAGTTCTGAATTCCTAGGATTTCTGAAGCTCCTACCTGACCTAATTTCTGCCCCCCCCTTATTCCTTCCCTTGCTTTCTTCTCCCTTCCTCCCCCCACTACCTCCTTCCTCTCTCACTGACCAAATGCAGTTCTTGGATCTTGGATTTCGCTGATGGTCGAGTTTTCTGTCTCCCACACTTTTCCTGCTTCTGTTGTGCTGCTCTTCGAGTCCTAGCTAGTTCTTAACCTCTTATCTGTCTCCCTTTCTACCATCAGCTTTAGTCTGCCCTCCCCCTTCCCTGCATACCTTCACCTTTTGTTCTCAGAGTCCATTTAGTGCCTGAAGATTTTACTCTTTAAGGAATTGCCTCCTTTTCCAGTGTAGAGGTAGAACTAAACCCCAAAGTCCTAACTGCAGTCCCCCCTTTTTTGCCAACAATGTCACCCAACTTGATTTGCTTTTCCTCAGATTCCATGACTTTGCACCCCTTCTCTCCCAGCCAGTTCTAATTTAAGGAGCAGCCAGATTACAATGGACAGTAATAAAACGAGCACATTTGTCTTTCTACAGGAACAGACCCCCAGATTTGGTGGCAGGGTTTGTTGTTGGGTTTTGTTACAGATTGGATTTTTTGCAGGAGAGGGAGGGACAGAGGTGGTTGTCTACAAGTCCCAGCAGATAAGCCCCCAACTATTAGTAAACTGGCCCCCTCCCCCCAATCCAGGTGTCATGAACATGAAAGAAGACCCCACCACCACCACCATCCCAGACCCTGAGCTTCTTGTTGGCCCTAGCCACTAAGTCTGCCTGCACTCCTCACTCTGAGGTGAGACAAATGCTGAATACCAGGAATCAAGCCACCCAAAATGTGCTTAGGGAGAGAAAGTCTCCCACATCCCCTCCCCTGGGTCCCCCTACAGCCCCCTGCTGTCGGTTGTGTCCTCAAACCCTGCAGATGGCAGCCTGCACCACAGAAAGGCAACTTAGGGTTTTTTTCTCCTGCTTTGGCTGTAATTGGATTCAGGCTGAAACAACCACGTCCCCAACCAGGAAAGGAAGGGCATAGGGGCGGGGGCGGAGGAGAGGCTGCGGGAGAAGGGAGGGACCAGAGGAGAGAGGAGAGAGGGCTCCAGACCCAGTTCGCCGACTAAGCAGAAGAAAGATCAAAAAACCGAAAAGAGGCGAAGAGTCAGCAGGCACTTTCAAGAACAATCCCGTCAACTGCAAACCGACAGCGCTCTAGGAATCCAAAGTCAGTGCCTACCGAAGACAAAGGCGCCCCAAGGGAGTGGCAGCGCGACCCCAGGGCGTGGGCCCCGCCGCGGAGCCCAAACCGCCCGGCTGCCCCGACGGTCTCCGATCATGTCTCCCGCCCCACGGCCCTCCCGCAGTCTCCTGCTCCCCCTGCTCACGCTCGGCACCGCGCTCGCCTCCCTCGGCTCGGCCCAAAGCAGCAGCTTCAGCCCCGAAGTAAGTGAGCTCCCCGGCCCTTCCCGGAGTCGCGGCCGCCGGGGAGGCGAGCCCCGGGGTCTCCAAGGGGGCAGCCCCCTTCCGGAGAGCAGGGCTCTTGGGATCTCGGCTGCTGCAACCTGCGGAACCCCCTTCCTTTTCTTTTCCCTTCTCATCCCCAAACTTCCAAGTCGATCCAACTTTTGCCTGCCGCCAACCAGCTCTCCCCACCCCCCGCGCCGCCGACTCTCTTTCCCATTCCTTCCGCTCCTGGAAGAACTTGACTGCAGGGGCGACCCGCCTCCCAGTTCCCCTGGGCTCTGCGCTCATCTCTGGAAGCAGCTGGGAGCCTGATAAACATTTGGACTCCGCTCCAAGCCCGCGCTGTCCCGGCTCCTCGTCATGTGCGAGAGTTTGTTGTTTCTGCCACTTTCCAGCTCGCCAGCGCTCTCCCGCCCGCTCGCCGCCAGCCGGGGCCAGCGCGCCCTCCGCTGGGCGCTTCGGCGGCTCCGGCCTCCTCGGGCG